ATGCTCGGACAAACTGAAGGCCTAAACTTTATCTCAACACTATTGTCAGAAAATCAGAATATTTTTATCAAGAATTTTATGTTTACTCATTATAATTTCTCCATTTTTAAGCTTACTGGAGTGAGTTTACTATAATGCACTTTAGACCAATCAAGTACATTATTAATATACTGATAACACAGTATATTAATAACACACAGTAACTGCAGCTTTGAATTGACTATATGAGCACCACAAATTAAATCCTTCTAAAATATTATGAAATACAAAGTAAAAAGTATAAAGTGTTTTATAAAACTGAATATCAGTGTAAAGGAAACATACTTCTACAAATTATTACTCTGCTACCAGCTGTAATCAACCCCAAATACCCACAGGTTGTTAAACTGTGATGCAGAGTAGATAAAATGCTGTTACAGGGTTACTTTAAGGGGTTAGCTCATCTGTTTAAGACTTTTGACCCCTTTTAGCCAAAATCAAATTTATGAGTATCCTGCTTCCACGTTTCTCATCCTTCACTATCCTCAAGAAAGTCACACCAAGGAATGAAGGTTTTCCTTCAGTAATATCAAAGATTTATTTAAGATTAAAAACATGCATTTATCACACAAATGTAATGTTCCAACGTGAGCTAATAGCTAACTGAACAATTATCCAGAGGGTTGAATATAACTCTTGTGATTTGTTTTGTTCAAGCACCTTGCATACATTAATGGAGAGAAAAAGTTGATTGCTTTTACAACACGTTATAGTGCCATCATATCTTTGCTTGAAGTTTTTCTAATGTTTTCCAATATTACGTCCTGTGAGGCTGTGGGAGTGTGTGGGTGGGGTGTTTGCCCGCTCTCCCCGCCTCCTCCTCTCTTGCCACTCCTACCCCCTCTGTCTCTCTCACTCTCCTCTCCCCAGGACACAGCTGCTTCTGATTAGCCTCGTTTGCCACCTGACTCCAGTCAGCAATCACCTCTGAGGCTATTTAAACTGGGGATAAGCTGTGAGCAGGGTGGTTTTTTCCCCTCTGTGGCTCTACACGTTTTTGTGCTAGGTTTTGGACAGACAGCCTCCTTCGGACTAGTGAGTAGATGGGCTTGTGGGCCCTGAGAGTGTCTCCCCGTGGTGAGGAGTAGGGTGGGAAGTGCCTCCCTTTTTTGTTTAGTAGTCTTCTTGCCTTTTGTTGCTGCGAGTGTTTCCTTTGTTTCTTTGGCATTGTTGGTAAAACAGCGTTGCCGGCTCTTTAAGTTAATGTCGTTTGTAATACACCTGTACCATTCGTAATAAAGCTATATTAATACAGAACAACTCTGTCTGTTTTCCTTTTCATTCTGATTCCGGACTCATTTGTTACTGGTCCCCTCACCCACATGCCTAGACCCCTTCGGGGGGGAACGTAACAATGTGGGGGCTCGTCCGGGATATGAATGGAAGGAACAGCAATTGAGTTTTAGTGGGTTGTTTGCCGGTGTCCTGGTTAGTTGTATTGTATCTGCTGCGCTCTCTCTCCAGTTAGCAAAAGGGGAGTGTCTAGCTGAGCGTAAGCTCCTCCTTCAGGCACTCATTTTTTATTTTTCCTTTATTATTTTCGGAGTAATCCCGGGTGGGGATCAGTTCCCTGTCGGGGGTAGGCTTGTCGGTGCTTTGTGCACTTGATGCTTAGCCTTTAAAGTTGCCTCGAGCCTGGTACACTCCAGAAGCTAACTAGGCTAAGATTTTAGTAGGCAGGTCTGGGGAGAGGGTCGGTGGTATTTTTATTTATTGGTTAACCTGTGGCCACACATTTCCCGCCTGTTTTTCATTTGTGTATTGGAGGTGGTGCTTCTTTGTTGTTATTGTTAGCCTCAGGTAGTTTTTGTTTTAGAGTTAATGGCTACCTTTGATATTGCCGTGTTTAAGGAAAACCCCTCGCTTGTCCAACTGGACGCCTGTAGGAAGAGGGATTTGCATGAGGTGGCAACATTTTATAGCATTTCTGTCTCCACAGCTCTGCGTAAGGCTGAGCTGAAAGCTGCTCTTGTGTCTGGCTTGGTGGAGAAAGGGATAGTGGCCTTGCCAGTGTCTTCCAGTCCACTTGAGCATGGTGCAGCGTCTCAGCCTGTTCCGCAGGTGCCAGCTCAAGCTGTAGGTCCATTGGTATCGACACCTGTTGCTCAGGGGCTGCCTGAGGACAAACCCATGACATTGCCTTGCTTCGAACCTCTCTCCATTGAATCAAGTGTAGGCTCGAAGCAGGATGCTAAGCTCCGTGTACGCCTGGATCGTCTCCAGTTGGAAAAGGAGGATCATGAGAGGGAGTTCCAGCTAAAGAAAGAGTTGGAGCTTAGGCGTTTAGACGCAGAGCTTGCTAGAGCCAGGGAGGTCGAATTAAAAAAGGTGGAGGCAGAGACAGCTGTTAAGTTGCGACAGCTGGAACTCCGGCAGGCTTCCCTTCCTCCGACTGCCTCCATTCGTCAGGCAGACACACCGTTTGATGTAGGGAAAAACAGTCGTCTGGTTCCGATGTTCCGTGACACTGAGGTCGACAGCTGCTTCGAGTTGTTTGAACGAATAGCCACGGCCTTGCACTGGCCACGGGATTCGTGGGCCATTTTGCTCCAATGTAAGCTGGCAGGTAAGGCTCAAGAAGTTTGTTCCTCGTTGTCGGCTGAGGACAGCTTGGACTATGACAAGCTGAAAAGTGCTATCCTGCTGGCTTATCAGCTGGTTCCAGAAGCCTATAGGCAGCGTTTCCGGGGGTTGAAAAGGGGACAGGGTCAGTCTTATCTTGATTTCGCCAGGGAAAAAGGTGTTCTTTTCAATCGGTGGTGTGCGGCCTGCAAAGCCACTGACCTGGCTTCGATCCAGGAACTAATGCTCATAGAGGAATTTAAGAACTGCATTGCTGAGCGCATCGCAGTATATATTAATGAACAGAAGGTTTCCTCCCTACAGCAGGTTGCGACGCTGGCTGATGAGTTTGCGCTCGTCCATAAAACCAGTGTCAGTAGGTATGACCGGCGCGATGCCCCAGTGAAGGCTAGCGAGGTGCCAGTTGCACAGCACCCAAAGGGTGAGGTACTTGTGTTTCGTCCCAAGGCAGACCGAAAGTGTTTTTTCTGTTTTAAGTCTGGCCACCTGATCGCAGATTGTTTCCGTCTGTAAGCTTCACAATCAGTCTCGACTTCACGTAAACCAAAAGGGGTTGGGCTGATTAAAACCATGCCTCCTGTCAGTAGGCCCCCTTCCCCTGAGACCCCGGATGAGTGTTTTAAGCCCTTCATTTTTAAGGGGACAGTTTCGCTTTCTGGTAAGACCAAGGATAAGCGTGAAGTGACCATTCTGCGTGATACTGGTGGCTCACAGTCCCTCATACTAGCTAGTGTGCTTGAATTTAATGAGAAGTCTGACTGTGACTCTAGCATCATTGTAAGAGGTGTTGGGATGAGTTTTGTGCCTGCTCCCCTCCATCGTATTTGGGTACAGAGTGAGCTGGTGAGTGGTTTCTTCTCAGTGGGTGTGCGGCCGCCTTTCCCGATTAATGGGGTGGATTTTATAATGGGAAATGATATCGCGGGTGGGAAAGTTTATCCTACCCCTGAGGTGACCAACAATCCTGTTATAGAGCCTGTGTTAGATGCCCTCAGCCTGCAGCACCCGGATGTGTTCCCGGTGAGCGTTCTGACTCGTTCACGTGCCCAGCAACAAGGTGGGGGGGTTGATTTGTCAGAATCAGTGATTGGCTCTATTCTAGAGAAGGATGTGATGCCCTGTACTGATGAGGGAGATAATGGAGCCTTAGAGGCAGCTCAAAGTGTGGTTGAGCCAGCTCCTGAGTCTGGAGCTCCTTTTCTGCTCACCCGGGAAGCACTTGTGAAGGCTCAGAAAGAAGACCCTTCATTAGTTAAGTGTTTTACTGCTGCAGCTCAGGATAAGGGTGGTGAGGGGAGCAAGAAGCAGACATTTTTCGTTTGGGAAGGTTTATTGATGCGCAAGTGGACCCCAAGGCCTGGAGAAGACTGGAGCGCAGTGCGGCAGATGGTGGTTCCGACAAGTCTGCGGTGGCATGTGCTACAGTTAGCACATGATCATGCATGGTCAGTGTTAGGGAGTTTTTGTTTTATTTGCTTATGCTTCAAAAGTTATGTTATACATATTTCACCAGACAGTTTTCTGTTTTGACAGGAAGCTGACCCTGTGACACTGACAAGAGACCAGCACAGAAATACATATCCGCAGAAGTTGACTTGCATTATATTATTCTTAGAAATTGACCTGCAACACACATACTCTGTGACACACACACCAGGACCTGCGGGACAGGAAATGTGATTATATTTGCATATTGACGATGTAACCTATAAAAATAAACGAATACTGCAGTTCGGTGTGATTTGCTCTGAGCTTTTCACCCGTGCAGCACGTTAACCTACACAAGTGTCTCATTGTTGTTTATTCACCTGACTGTTTGTTAACTGTAAATCTCTGACAGTCAGGTCATTTGGGTGTCACTAAAACATATGACCGTATACTGCAGCATTTCTGTTGAGTGTTACTTTAACACTCAGGTGTGGACCCATATAGACAATCTCTAGTGTTTATTTAACACTGGAGATTTTGCTGTGTATGGGCCAGCTGACCACGAAACTCATACATATAAAAAGAAAACAAAGTTTGTTTGTTTTTTTTTCCACACCGATCTCAAGTAGCTGGGCACCACTGAACTGTAGTCATGCATGAACTGTAGAAAAATCTATTAATCCAAACTTTAATTCACATTTATCTATTTTTCCAAAATCTATAAATCTCGTGCTAAACACGTAGCTTCAAAATATTTAAACTGAAAACGATAAAAAGCATTCTGCCCCTCATGAATAGCAGGCTCTAGGACCCTTTCAGGATAAATAAGGCACAGCGTGATATCTGTAACTCATTAACTCTGTTAAATGTTGCCTTGCAACAAGCAGGACTTTGGCCAGTGAAACCACAGCATCAGTCTGTGGTTTCTGCAGATATTGAGTAATGCAGGCTTCAAGGCACAACTTTTATATAGAGAAAAGCACAAACACAGCACATTTATACTAGAGAAAATTTGAAAAGGGTATAAATCCTATAGTATTGAGTACACTTCTGAATATGATTGTAAGCAGTTCCCTGCTTACAGTAGGTAACCGTCAGATGAAGTGTAGATAAACACCGATGAGACACAACATTAAAACCACTGACAGCTGATGTGAATGACATCATTGCTACAATGCAACAGTCTGCTGGGAATCATTCAGCCCGTTCATCTTACTTTGACGTGTACCTCCCCCCTAAAGGTTGTTCTATACACAATACTACATTACTTTGGCAATGACTCGGTGGAAAGTGCTTAAAAACCACTCGAGTAACTTTAATTAAAGAGCCCATGGAGTTGACACAGGACACAAAGAACGCAGTTCCAACATCCCAGGACACACCCAGACATCGCCTGTACATTTCCCAACGAGCAAGAGCTGTTTACGCAGCACAACAGAGACCTACACTGTACATAAGGCATGTGGTTTTAATGTTGTGGCTGATCGGTGATTATTAGTTCACAGGTTTACGCGTTTCACTGAGTCTGCAGTGCTGGGGGGATGTTCAGGGCTGAGCCAGGTGGCAACGCCCAGTTTTCCGGGCTCTGGTGGGTCTGTAGCAGGCAGTAAAGCTGCTTTAGGTGGGTCACAATGTTATCCTTGATGTCTGGGATGGAAATCTGGAGGCGGATGCTGCCGCTGTCAAGTGATCGCGTGTTGTCACTAGAAAACATCTCGCTTATCATTCGGGCCACCACTGGAATGACCTGCAGGGTGAAAGAGGGCCGTTAAGTGTTGGGAAAAGACACTTCGCAATCTTCTTTGTTTAAAAATTTCAAGATAGAACACTTATCATCTTTGGTTTCTTAAGATTCTTTAAACTTTTGGCTGTCATTTTGTATGACTTAGTGACATTTTATAGGCAAAAAGACTCAAAAATTATTTCTGCGTGATGCGATGACACGACTCCATCGTCCTTTGATGACCATTAAATTATGTTACACATTTCTTTACCTGGACCATGATAAGTTTCCTCTCCTTGGGTCTTCCATCTGGCCACTCCTCCCCGAAACACAGATTGATCTCATAGTCAGGAGTGATTGGTGCCTGACCACGCTGTTGAGCTATCACACCTGCACAGCAAACAAAAAAATATATATTTATAAAAAAAAATGCTTTTCCACAGGTGCTCAAACTCATTTTACATTGCAGGCCACACCTGCCCACCTTGATCTTAAGGCATGGGCCAAACCGCTGAAACTCCCATTTTTGTCAGTGTAAAGATGCTTAACTACACATTGTATCTCATTTATTAAAAAGAAGTGACATTAATACATACCAGCGAGAAAAGACTCAAGACAGAACAGTTTGACCTTCCTCTGCCGCTCTATGAGATTCGGAGCAGCTGGATTTGGAGCGCAGGGGCCAGACCAGTACACCTTGCACTGACAGAGACGGACTGCGTAGATATCGTGGCCGCTGACCTCCAGGATCAGACCTCTGTCCATCACGTCCAGAAGGCGGTTAGTGAAGACCCTCTGCTTGTCATTGGTGATGTGCTCCGTGGTCGGAAAGCGTAGCTGTTCCAGGTTCACTGGGCCGAACAGCTCTTCCTGATTGACCATGGGCCCGAGGTCTCCGTAGAACAGCCTGCAGCCTAGCGGGTTGCTGACTGTCGCTGTAGGACACATCTCCTTCCCTCTGTAAAGAAACTGCACCTCCAGGTCTGTCACTGGGTCAGAGATGAAGGTGGAAGCGTGTTAAAAAGGAAAATGCAATAAAACTATATTTTAGGTAAAAACAGAAAAAGAACTAAGCTTAATTTTTGAAAAAGGAGAGGTCACAGGGAAGCAGAAACTTCAATTTTACGACCATGGTGCACATACTGGACACATATTCTCAATTAATTAATAAAAAGTTCTGTTTATTTAAAAACAACAACAGGAATAGTGACATCTTCAAGCTTAAAGCAGAGGAGTTGAAACTATCTTTTTATAAAACCAGCAAGTATTGCTGTCTAGAGAAGAGGTTTTCTGATGTTATATTTTCCTAATTTAAACCAATCAAATGTCATGAAGTTCAACTGCACTTGGGGAGCTACAGCAGGTATCCCCTACACCTCAGCCTGCCACAACAAAAAGCTCAAATTGTTATTTTAAGTTGAAGTCTGCCAAGCAAGCAGGTGCAAGACTCGTGTCTTAGCAACAGTTCACACTCACTTGGAAGGGAACTGATCCACATTTCGGGAGAGGCAAACAAGCCGTCGGGCAGGGGAGGGGGCTGCAAAGACGGATCGGGCAGAGTAACTGGGGGCATGTCGTGTGTCGTTTGCTGCATCTCCACATCCACGGGCTCCTCTTTAGGCCAGGGTTTAACAGGCTCCTCTTTGGGCCAGACCTCGTTTGATGGGGGACAGCTGGGAGGCTGCATGGATGACTCAGAACCCATCGGAGACCACATAATGAGAGGAGAGGGGGTGCCTACATGAAGAAAATAATTCATTTACTGTTAATAAGCAATCAAACTGGACATCGCAGAAACAGGTGTAATGTTTTTAGACAAAGCCATTCACCATTAGATGGGTATGGAGGCAGAGACTCTGGAGTATCTGGAATATCTTCCTCAAGACCATCATCATCCCCGGGTGTCCAGGGGCCAGCATCTGAAGAGCCTGCGGAGTGAGGGAGGTGGCAAATACTGCAAAATTAAAGATGAACGAAGAAAGACGAGAGCGAGCCGCATTAAAGAGCTCTCATTTACCGTGGTTGCTGAGGGGCTGAGGGATGTCACAGACATCATATATCTTCCAAGGATTCATGGGGATCTCTTTGGTGCCGTCATAGACGAGGTTGAATTCTCTGCTTTTGTTCAGGGCACATCGAAGCTGAGCTTTCCACTTTGCAGGATCAGGTTCGTCAACTCCCTCCTGGAACTTTCCGGTCTCCACAGCCCATGCCTGGGGGAATATTTAGACCAAATGAAGGGATCAGTATCACACAGTTATTTTAATTTCTATTTATGCACAGTATGCACTCACAAAAAATAAAAATAAAACCAGTGTTCTTTATTTACTGAGTGATGCTGGGTCAGCATGTTTGTCAGGAAACAGCTGTATAATGTATTCACAGCTATGTCAGAATGAAAAGACTCAAGCCCAGAGGCTCAATTTTTCACGAGGTACACACACCTCGTCACAACAAAGTTTATGCTGATCAAATTCTGTTTTCTTTTCTTTAAAAAAAAGTTTACTTATTTATTTTTTTTAAGAAAAGAAAACAACCTCATGAGCCACAACCTTTTCCCTTTATGCCTCTCCTGTTTAATTTGGTAGGTTTACAGAAGAACAATAAAATAAAACACCTACATAAAGTTTCATTCAACATGACCCAGAGAAACAAAATAGAACTGGGCTGCAAAGCCAGACGTTTTATTAAAAGTCCTACTTATTATTATTAGAGGGTATTTTTTAAAAGGATATTAACCAGGAATGAATTAGCATAACCCCTGCTTAAACCTCCTCACTGTCTCTGCAGAAGTACAAGTTCTGATCATGTATAAGGAATAAAGTCACACACACAGGCAGACACCCCTCTTTTAGTGAATCTTTACCTTAAAGATGGTGTCCTCATCCTCGTGCTGGGGTGTGTGCCGTGTGGCGTGTTTCCATGGGATCCTGAAGCGCATGTTCTCACGGTCAAGCCACGTCAATCCCGGGTAGCGCCCGCTTTCCACCTGCGCGACCAGCCAGGGCTTCAGGCGGACACGCCGAGGGGTGACTGCCATCCTCACTGCCGAGAAAACCCAAGTGAAATCAGTCCACCCTCAGAAGTCTTAATAACCCCCCCACATCCCCCCATGATCTTTAGTGCACCCCACGGCAAACTACGCTGCAGCACTTATCAGGGGGAAACAAACATTTTAGAGCTGCTGGACTTCAGCTCTGGCAGACGGAGCGACCTTTCAGTTGTTTGCCAGATTACTTACAGACTAGGCCTCGTATGACGATTTTGCACGGTGTGTTTAAATAATATGTGAAGTGCAGTATCTGTGTGTCAGTCCAATCCAGTCCAAAAATCAAACACCCGACGCAAGCAAACACGAAAACAAAAGACGACACACATACCTGTGGGCAAAGCAGGAAGTTGGAGATCTCGTCGGCCTGTTAACCAGCAGCTGGAAATAACAGCGCTTCGGTGGGTCCAAACTCCCCACCAATCTCCCCTCGAAGCGAACTCACCGATTACCGGTTCGACGAAAGGCGACTAATAACAACGACAGGCGGAGAGCTGGAGCTCAGAATGGCTGATGTTCCTCACTCCTTTGGTCCTTCCCTTTCCACACCGAAACTCAGGTAGGAGTGTGACGTCACACCGGCGGCACACCTTTTCTGAGCAGCTGGGTGATCGTTTTTCACCAAGCATGTGGACGGGGCACTTTATTTTTCCACGAATATCTCAGCTTATCTCGACGAGAACGACATTTTTTATTTTTGTCCTTTAGGAATTTATTTGATCAGATTCGTAATTTGGATACTCTACATTCCTTTTGATATTTATTTATAATATATCAATAAATAAATAGAACGAGATACACCGTGCTTTTTGGGACAATTAATATTAAGAGCTTTTTTGGCGGGGGGTAAAGCTGGCCTTTTTGAGAACACTTAAACTAATTGTGTCCTGTCAGCTTTACATGCTTATTTTTTATACTCACACACTTGCTTTGTTTAGCTAAGAAAAGCGCGACCGGTGTGACATGACTCAGCTGGCAGGAAAAGGAGGCGTTTCGACGAAAAAAACAAAACAAAACAATGCACACAATGAGTTTGCTCCAGACAAGTGGACGGTTGATGATGATCCTATCACCATTAGGAGCCAAAAACAGGCCGACAAAATCAAACCACTCCCTGAAACTGCTCATGGACTGCAGAAAGCGTGTCACTTGGCCCGCTATTGTGATTTTTCCCGGTGTTGGCACAGCATACATCATGTGCTTGTTGCTTCCTGTGTGATGCTAATTGTGGGTGTTTTTTTTTTTTTTTTTTTTTGCTTGGGGCGATAGGGTCAGTTTACTGCCAACTGCCTGCAGTATCACCACGATCTGTCTGATCCAGTGCGGTTAACAGATGTTTCCAGTTTCTCCCAACATAAATGTGACCCCAGGGGCTGCAAAGGGTTTAATAGACGATTTCATAGATACAATAGTGGGAGGCACTCCAAGAACTGAGATACAAGCAAAAGTCATGCGCAATCACTCATTTCTTTATATGTAGAAGTGGAAATTGGGAATAGATGCAGCAATGTGTTCTAAATTGTACCTTTAGCTACTTAGTTACTAGCAGCCTGCTGCAAAAACACATAATTTGTTCCAATTTCTTTAGTTGAATCTATAAAAAAAATGCCAACAATAAAAAAACAACAACTATCTACATCAGATGAACAGTACCTGAAAGTCATGTCCACAAGAAATAAGTTAAAAAAAAAAAAAGACATGACGGAGGGATGAATTTGACTCTTCAGTTGATCCGTCTCCTGTTCACTGAAATCCAAATTACACAAGAACTGGAATTCAGTGAAAGTCAGTGGCAACAGCTGTTATGATGTGAGGAATCCAAATTTGAAATTCTTGGTTCAAATCATGTTGAGTGTGGGTATGGTGTTAGGAGAAAGGTACAACAGTTCTGAAGACTAGTTAAAAATTACAAAACAGCTTGCGTAAGAGAGGGTGTTCATATGAAAATCATCCTGCCAAATACTGACTTCCAAGCTTCAGAGAACTGTCCAAATTCATTTTTGCCTTAGATACTGTTTTTCCAATGTATGTTTGCACGTTTCAATGAAATGCTGCATTTTTCTGCATGTCGGATAATAGATTTAACAAAAACACTGGCCGGAGTATGTGTGAGTAAAATGCAATGGAAATATATTAAATAAAATGTTTATTCATTCACATAAATAATCATTAAGGACATCCTGCTTGGTATAAACTGAATGTACCAATCAAGTATTTCATTCTACCGGATTCCATTAAAATGAAAATTTAAAAACTGTTCAAAATTACATGGAAAAGTTGCATGTAATTACTGCAAATTAGATAAAGTCAGCATTTTGGATTCACATGATGAATCAGAATCAGAATCAGAAAGGGTTTTATTGCCAAATGTTGAGCAGGTTTACAACATTAGGAAATTGCTGCGGTGCTTCAGTGCAAACATACTGTCATAAATTGCGCTTAAATAGACATGAAAAAATAAAAGTAAGAATAAGAATTAAAAGTGCTACGTAGAAAGATATATACATGAGTGCAGGTGGTGATCAGTGCCAAAACATGGAATGATGCAGTGAACACAGCGTAGGGTCATGTGTTAGTGGTGGGAACAGTCATACGGTTATCCTTCATGTGTCCAACAGCAGAGGGGAAGAAACTGTTCTTATCGCGAGAGGTTTTGGTGCGAATGGACCGGAGCCTCCTGCCTGAGGGGAGCAGGTCAAACAGACTGTATCCAGGGTGAGAAGGGTCAGCTGAGATCCGAGCTGCATGCAGCAGTGTCCTGGAGGTGTACAGGTCCTGCAGAGATGGGAGTCTACAGCCAATCACCTTCTCAGCAGAGCGCACAACACGCTGCAGTCTCTGTTTGTCCCTGATGGTGGCTCCAGCGTACCACACGGTGATGGAGGAGGTGAGGATGGACTCGATGATTGCGGTGTAGAATTGCATCATCGTCCGTGTTGGCAGGTTGAATTTCTTCAGGAAGTACATCCTCTGCTGAGCTTTCTTGATGACGGAGGTGATGGTGGGCTCCCACTTCAGGTCCTGAGTGATGGTGGTACCCAGGAAGCGGAATGAGTCCACAGAGGTGATGGGGGTGTCAGTCAGGATGATGGGGGGGAGTGGGGCTGTGTGCTTCCTGAAGTCCACAATAATCTCCACTGTCTTATGGGCATTCAGCACCAGGTTGTTGTGGCTGCACCAAGACACCAGACGTTCAACCTCCCTCCTGTAGGCAGACTCATCCCCGTCCGAGATGAGCCCAATAACGGTGGTGTCATCTGCAAACTTGATTAGCTTGACAGACTGGTGGGTGGAGGTGCAGCAGTTAGTATACAGGGAGAAGAGCAGAGGAGAAAGAACACAGCCCTGAGGGGAGCCGGTGCTGATGGTCCGGGAGTCCGAGACATTCTTTCCCAGCCTCACATGCTGCTTCCTGTCCGTCAGGAAGTCAGTGATCCACCGGCAGATGGGATCAGGCACATTCATCTGGGAAAGCTTGTCTCGGAGATGGTCTGGAAGGATGGTGTTGAAGGCAGAGCTGAAGTCCACAAACAGGATCCTGGCGTAGGTTCCTGGGGAGTCCAGATGCTGCAGGATGAAGTGTAGGGCCATGTTGATGGCGTCCTCTACAGACCTGTTGGCTCTGTATGCAAACTGCAGGGGGTCCAGGAGGGGGCCGTGAGGGTCTTGAGATGGGAGAGAACTAGGCGCTCAAATGACTTCATGACCACAGATGTCAGAGCCACGGGTCTGTAGTCGTTTAGTCCAGTGATCCTAGGTTTCTTGGGGACAGGGATTATGGTAGAGGACTTGAAGCAGGCAGGCACATGACATGCCTGCAGTGAGGAGTTGAAAATGCCAGAAAACACTGGGGCCAGCTCGTTTGCACAGTGTCTGAGGGTGGCAGGAGACACACCGTCTGGGCCGGGAGCTTTTCGAGCATTCAGCCTCTTAAACTGCTTCCTCACATCTGCTTCATGAATATGAAGAGTTGTGGTGGGAGGAGGTGGTGTGAAATCCTCTTTTGTGTGGGGTGAGGAGGGGGTGTTGTAGGTGAACAGTTTGAAGGTGGTGATGGCTCTATGGAGGGGGAGAGGTGGGGAATGAGTGTCCAAAGTGTCTCTATTGTTGGGGCCGTTGGAGGTGTGAAGGCTGCCTGATGGCTCGTCAAAACGGCAGTAAAAGTCGTTAAGGGTGTTGGCCAAGAGCAAATCGTCAGTGGAGTGGGGGGTTTTAGGCTTGTAGTTTGTGATATTCCTAAAACCTTTCCGCACAGAGGCCGAGTCATTCTCTGAGATCTGCTGCTGCATCTTCTCAGAGTGCTGATGTTTAGCAATGTCCACTTCTTTAGTGAACCTGTACTTGGCCTCTCTGTAGCAGTCCCTGTCTCCGCTTCTGAACGCCTTTCTCTTTTCCAGCCACAGCTTTTTGAGTTTAGGAGTAAACCAGGGTTTGTCATTGTTATAACTCACCCTGGTGCGTGATGGCACAATGCTGTCCTCACAGAAGTGGATATAGGAGGTGACAGTGTCCGTAAACTCGTCCAAGCTGTTAGAAGCAGCCTTCATTGTGTCCCAGTCTGTAGACTCCAAACACGTGCGAAGCTCCTCCACAGCCTCGTTGCTCCACAGTTTTTTTGTCCTCACGACAGGTTTGGAGAGCTTCAGCCTCTGTCTGTACGCGGGGATTAGGTGGATCATGACGTGGTCAGAAAGTCCGAGTGAAGCGCGGGACACTGCGCGATAGGCCCCGCTGATCGTGCTGTAGCAGTGGTCTAATGTCCTCTCCTCTCTGGTCGGGCATTTAATATACTGCTTATATTTCGGAAGCTCATGGCTCAGATTGGCTTTGTTAAAGTCCCCAAGAGCAATGATGAGAGAGTCCGGGAATGTCCGCTCCATGTGGAGTATCTGCTCCACGAGTGCGCACTGAGCTGCCTGCGCATCCGCGTCTGGCGGGATGTAAACAGCGGCCAGGATGAATGAAGCGAACTCCCGCGGAGAATAAAACGGTTTGCAGTGAATAAAAAGATATTCCAGAGAGGAAGAGCAGTGCTGAGCAATCACTGTCACATCTGTGCACCAGCCACTATTAATGTAGAAGCAGACACCTCCACCTTTGGTCTTACCAGAGAGAGAGGCCTGCTATAACTGACAAACTGTAAGTTAACGTCTACTTAAATATTGTTACCTGCCCAACCTTCTGTTCACCTATTAAGAACAAACTATGATCTCTTTTACATCTAATATCAAAACAGTTTCTTTAGTTTCACTAACATTTAGCATTAGGTTGTGGCTCTCACACCATTGCACCATCCCTTCTACCTCTGATGTGTCAAACAATACTGCCAAGTTTGTAATGCATAATAAACACTGGATAGAAGTCATAAAGGAATTGGCAGACAGTGAATGTGAAGACTGAAATGGTGTCCCACTAAAGCAAGCCTCTACGGCTTAAAACAGTGGTATCAGTAGATAGCTTATACACACAAAAATTCACTTTCAGATCATTTGTTCTGATTTTCTTGGATTCTTGAACAATGTCTCTCATGTCCAAACACTCTCTCATACAAATAAATAAATAAATAAATAAATAAATAATTTTTTAAAAAGTCTGAACTAAAATCTAAGAGTGGACAGTAATATGAAGCACTTTGAGCATTCTGCAGACCTTCGTCAAGGCAGCTCACTGCCTGGGCAGTATTTACTTTTGTATTTTTTATATTTGA